AAGTAAATTCAATTATGTCTATGCTATCTGGCCAGATTGTTCGGGAAGAAGCTGGCTAGCATTTTGGTGAACAAGCATCTTGATTTACTTGAGGGATCATTTCTTGTACCAACCTGGTATAGACTTAGCCTTGATTTAGGACTAAAACTGGTTTGAGATGTAATGACTGTTGAGTCATTTAGTAGCAGTCAGTGACCACAGTACAATTACAGGTTCAGCATCCTCGGGGGTGGAAGGTCTTGGACTAAAAATGAGTCTTGTGCTATAAGACATTGCAGGGGAAAAGATTAGAAAAACAGAGTCCTTAGACTTGTCAAGGCAGCCCCATAGATACCTGGAAAGGTTACAGATAGCTTGAGTTAAGCAGAGCTTCAGAGCTGAAGGGGAAATCAGTTATAAAGGAAGGGACTTCCGGAGTCCAGCAAGACTCCATCAAAAGACTGGAGTCCATCTCTTGCAGTGGACTGAAAGAGCCATGCTGTGTGGCAGGCAGCCTGTAAGCTGGACATTAAGCAGTTTAAGAGGGGCTTTGAAGAGCCTGGGTCTTAGGGAGCAAACACTGCCTTAAGTGTGTCAGAGAGAAGGCTGGGGACAAAACCTTAAATGTGCAGGACTGAAGGCACAGTTAATTTTCAGCGCTACTTCATACTACTTAAGTGACTTATCCATGTCATTCTGGAGCACAGGGCATGTTTGAGAGCCTGCCTATGCATCACCTTGTCCTTTTGCATGGTAAAGATAAGGAACCTCCCTATGAACTCTAGTGTTTGAGGCAGAGAAGCTGGAGCAAAGTAGTGAATTTAAGTGGAAAAGCAAGAGATATACCTAGGAGTTGTGAAAGAGCTTGAGACTGAAATGCTAACATTACTAGCAAAAATAGGGCTGTTAAAAACTAGCTTTACCATAGAAAAACTATGGTGTTCTCCATAAGTAGCTAACATCCTAATGTCAGATTAGTATTTTTTTTAATTAAAGTATTAAACGGGGCGCTGGGAATTGCAGATCAGCAACCCAGCACTCCGGTTTGAGAAGGAGAGACTGAAGTGCTCTAACTCTTCAGTATGTGATAGGTTGAAATCAACATGCTTTCTGCAAAGAAAGGTAGTTGGACTACATGGTCTTTGAAGGTCCCTTCCAACCCAAACCATACTGTGATTCTATGATCAGTCTTGTTTTCTGGGTAATCTAACAGAATCTTTGAACGTGTTGACAAGCAGTTGGAGGTAGAGAATCAACTGATCTTTATTTGGTTGATTTAAAAGGTTTTATCAAGTCCTCCCCAGAAGGTACTCAAAAATTACGCTTGTAATGAGAAGTGCAATATCTTGGAGTCCTTCTCTATTTGCAGCTGATGTTGATCACTTGGGCAGCAAAAGGTAGACAGAGGTCTAGTTGGAGATGGTGATTGAAGGCTTCCAGGTCTGCATCTTGAGTAGGTCTTCAACCTTTGAGCAAATGAGTTTCCTGTGGAAAACACTGATTCATTAAAACCAAAGATGCCAGGTGGAGAAGGGTTGATTTTCACTGAATTTTTCTGGTGAGCTCATCTAGGTCCAGGACTCAAATTCTGGTTGACTGCAGAGGAGAAACAAGCCCACAATAATGGGTAGCGTGGCATCTAGATTCCTCCTTTAACGTGACACCCTCCTATTCAAATTCCTACCCTGAGCTTGACTTGCAGGTCTGCCAAATCCCAGAGCATGCCTCAATAGCTGATGTGGAGGATATGTTCTGTTTTCTTTTGGTTTTATCAGGAAAAACCTGATTTTGGTTTTGGCAATGGGCAGAAAGGGAAAGAGCAGGGAAAGAGCACTGGTCAACATCTTCCAGGTCTCATTTTGGCACTGTTCTTGAGGGATTGGTGTCCATGTGTGTGAGTGCGTGCAGACCTGTTATCTCTCTTCCCAAGAGACCTAGAAGGACCCACAGCTAACTGGTGTGAGCTGGAGCATCCCTTTGCTGCTCTAGCTTGGTTTCAGGCTCCTTAAAAGTCTAGAAGTCATAGAAAATACACTCACTTCTCCCACCTTCCCTGTCTTTATTAGATCATGGTACCAAAGAGTAAGTGCTTTGATAAGTCATTGGATTTTGCAAGAGGAGCAGGTTAACTGCAGCCACCTCAAGTTAGAGTTAGTGTTTAGATAAAAGAATTAGCAATTGAAATTGCCCCATCCCTGGCAGTGTTCAAGGCCAGGTTGGACAGGTCTTGGAGCAAGCTGCTTTAGTGGAAGGTGTCCCTGCCCATGGCAGGGATTGGAACTAGGTGGGCTTTAAGGTCCCTTCCAACCTAAACCATCCTGTACTTATACGAAAGAATAGAGTAGTTGGTTTATACCATAGAAGTGACTTCAGCCTGCCCGTGACTGGAAGTTCCGAAGATCATGATGAGGTCTGGTACTGTGAGCATGCAGCAGTAGGTGCCGGCTCTGGGAAATGCAAGACAATGGGCAGGGGGCGGAAAAAGGCAATTTTTAATGCTCCAACAGTATTGCTGGGCTTTAAGTGATTTGCTCATTCAGGAAGAAGAATATTGAATTCTGGGTAGCAAAACCAAATGAGGTGAAGGTTTATAAGCTGCCATAGAAAATAACTGTGTGTTAGAGCAGTAGGTGCTGAGGTCTGAGACGCTGCAGCGCATGAACTCTCCCGTGACACGGTTCATCAGACCCTCGCGGTGCCCCTGTGCTCCTTCCCCTTGGTAATCTGGTGCTTGTCACTGATGCAACCTTTGTCCCTCCCCTTAGAAATACCTATTTAATGGGATTACTCACTTCTAGTTAAATTGTACCAGCTGACTTTGAAGTACTTAATATCAAAATGTTGTGGTATGCTTGCATGATAGCTATTTGATGTAAGTACAAAAATCTCTTGTGCTCTCTCTTTAGGAATTTGGGCTTTGAGTTTCATTGGGGAGCGTTGTACGTACCCAACTGCACGGGATCAGGCCCATCTCTTTTTTAAAATGTATTTCGTATCTGAGATTAGAAACATTCTAGGAGACAAATCAGAAGATAAAGTTGTCTGTTACAGGCTCAGATGATAATAGCGACTTGTGCTAAAGGCTGCCCGTCCACGTAGCAAACTGCACGGCTGCTTCTGTTCTAACTGCTGTCAAAGGTCCGGCATTTTGGTAATAGTATTTATTTTCTAAATGTACTGAGTATACTTGCCTTTAAATCCTGTTAGGTACAGATAATTATTGTTGGTATTCTGTAAATTAGCTCTATACTAGCATTCACATTGGAGTAGGCTTAATATTGTGAGTGTCAAAGATGACTTGAAAAAGGAAAATTCATTTATACCCTTTTAGTGCAGTTGTACCCCATACAAGGTGTTGTTTGTGGAAGTACCAGGAGTGCTACAACTGTCTCCCCCACTTTTACTTGCTGTGATTTTCTGCAGGAGAACATACAGATTTAAATCAATTTTTCCATCCTTCGGAGACACTGAGATATTATCACAGTGAGGCAATAGATAAACTAGGCCATACTGCAGAGAAAATGTATCTTTTCCTTTTTTTTTTTATTCCTTCTGCTGTTAATCAGGCCTCCGAGCATTTTTATTATTATTATTTTTAATTTAAAACAGTTAAATTGTTTGAGTACAAATCACTTCCCCCGTGTCTGGTGCGACATCCTCTAAGACACCATAGGTCTGTTCAGGCTGGATTATTTGTGGTCTTCCAGAAAAACTAGATGGCTGGAATCACTAATGCCAAAATTTGCCCACGGCAAGGGAGGAAAATCCTTACCCCATCCAGACCCTTTCCAGTCACCCCACAGCACCCCATAAGGGTATAAATACCTACTTTTTCTTTTCCAGGTGATCTTTAAGGCCAGGCAGCAGCAGGCAGGGTCGGTCTGTCTGGGCAGAAGGGATGGGGCTCTTGCCCTGCAGATTTACCCTGCTTCGGCATCAAATCCAGCCGGTTTTAGGCTGAGTTTCTGTCCCCCGAGCAGAGCTCAGCCCCAGCACAGCCAGCCCCAGGGCTCTTTGGTGCTCCTTGCATCTTCTTGGGTACAAGATCTCTGTGGGTGATGGTGCCCACAGATTGCCCAGCTGCTCGGTGTGCATTTAGGGAGCTACATGTGGTTGGATTTCACTGTGTCCTCAATTGTGATCCCCAGGGCAGAAAAATTAGGACTTTCTTCTCAGTTAAATTAAAACCACAAAAAGTGAAGCAAAACCTCTGGAGAGCGGTGTTACCTGTGGTAGTGACCGCCGTTCACCACCCGCTTCTGTTCAGCCATGACCCCTGCTTTGGTTCTGCTGGGTTTTTAGCCATCTTGACCTCTTGTTTGCAAATATGATTGGTAATATAATGCTCTATGTACAAATGTCTGTGTGGCTCATGTGTATGTTTCTGTGGTTCAAGTCAGCCACAGAGTTCTGGAATTTCATTGTACTTTGGTTAAATGTTGGACTTTTAACTCTTCTACTGTATGGCTTCTTGATTTCTCTTGTCCAATGTGGACCAACTCTATTTTTGGAAATAAATAAGCATGTAAATAAAATGAATGGGTTTATGCCACTTACAAGAAAATGCTTTATTTAAAATATACACTCAGTCTTGTATATTTTATGGTATCTCAGGGAGGGACAAGGCTCAGGCACCGGCAGCCTTGGTGATGAGGTACCATATTATGTACAAATTCATTTCCAAGTGGTTTCAGAAGAAGACTTTCCATCTCCTGAGTCAAACCCCCATAGGACCAGCCTGGAGGAGGAGGAGGGTGGGGGGGAATCCAGAAAGAATCACATAGCTTAAGAGGAGTAAAGGAAATAAACACAACTTTCCTCTCAACACAAGGCTTCTGGTTTGAGGTGTCTGGGTGCCAAGGATGCTGCCGAGTGCAGGGATGCTGTGGGGCAGTTCTCGGCTCCTGCCCAGGAGCATGTGGAGATCAGGAGCATGATGACTTCTTTTCTTTCTCTTAAATTTCTCCATATAAACCAATATTTACCAGTAATCCTGTGTTTCTGTTTTTGTTTCTTGGCAGACTTTTACCAGTAAATATCGGTTTATTCCTGAAACCAGAAGCCCTAAACATACCTTTGTTTATAAGGTCAGTTGTCATTTTGTCTCTCTCGTTCCCCGCTCCCCCCCCACAGTACAACCTGGCAGGTGATTGAAAGGTACCAAGTTTTCTTTCTAGTTTTCCTGCTCTGCATCTCTGGGAATGGAGCCCGCAGGACCTAGAGCCTTCTGTTGGTAACGTAGACCTGAGTTTACAAATTCTTCTTTTACCATTTTAAAGCCTGCTTTTAAGGACAGAGGTGTTCCCAGCTGCGGGAATGGGTAGAACCCCCACAAAAGTAGAAACACCTCTCTGAAGCCTGTGGGTAGGTCTCTCACAAGCATCTTCAGGCTTGGGGCTGAGGAAATAAGTTATCCCAAAATATACACTGAGAAATGCCATTGCTGGTTTGCAGGGAGCAGGACTGGGGGAGGGAAGGGTGAGAAAGGAGTTGGAAAAAATCATTCCCCCCCCTCCCCCCCCATTTTTTTCTGATTTACTTGAAAGTGTGACGTGGGGAGGAGGGAGAGAGTTTGAACATTGCCCTTCCTGAACTTGGCGTAAACTCTTCTCCAAGGCTGGAAGAAAGGGCAAGTGCAAGGTCTGATCCTTAAAAGGACATTGCTAGGTGTCTGAGACCCCAGAAGCAGCTGCACCTTCAATGACAGGAACCAGTTTAGGTCATCTTGTCAGAGTTTTGGTTATTCCCAGACAAATCCCCTTTGGGAGCATTGAAGCCTCCTGTATTTTTGTGCAAGTGTTTGCGACCCAAACACAACAACCTTGCGCTGATACTCCAGAAACAGAGAAGCTGGTGAGGAATAGAAAACGAGTTCTCTGCATGGTCCCAGCCAATTTTTCTTCTCCCAAGTAAACAAAATGCCAAAAAAAAACCCAAATAAAGCCTTCTTCCAAAATGCAACCTCCCAACAAAGCAAGCCAAAATGGATCTCAAACGCCTACTCTGGTTGTATCATATGTGGTTGGTGAGAGCTCTTTCAGCCTAGCTGCAACCTAACTATGTCCCTTTAAGGAGCACCAGTGTCTATTTTCCTCTTAATGAGCACCAAAGCTGAGGGGTTTGCAGGTTTCAGATGCAGGCTGAAGTTCCTGCAGCCTTAGATGGAGTCCAGAGTGAGGGGAGCCCTTCCAGCTGTGCACTTTGAGCTGAACACTACCTTTCCTCCCCTTTTGCAGCCTGGGTGGTTCTGATTGCTGGCAGTTCTGTAACACAACTTTAATCTGAGCAATTGAGGCTGGTCCTACCTTATCTTCAGACGTCTTGCGGAGGACTCCTGTTACCAGTTTGGTACCCAAAAGCTACACCCCACCATCAGAAGTCACTTACTCTTTTTTTTGTCCAAGGCAGTGATAGATCACCCTCTCTAGCTCTAATGGAAAAAAAGATAATTGCAATGCAACTTTCTAATACATTGTTCATATATACATAATTCCATTGCAATCCCAGATTGGAGAAGAGATCTGTTAAAGGTATATATTAGTCTAGATTTTTTCTTATTGTAAATACTGTAATTTTATAATACTGTCAATATTTTATTAACTTAGAAATATTTAACAGAGTTTAATCTATGGTAGTTGATTTATTTATAGGTTTATGTTGCAGCCAATATTGCATTACATTCTAATGTAAGATTAACTTTCAGCATGTAAACATTGATTTAATCTATCCCTGGAAAGATTAAGAAAGAAAACTTAATCTGTATTTATCCCCCAAATCCCAGTTTGGAATTCTTTAATGAGATCTTAGGAGGTTCCAAGAGCTCGGGAATCTTAACAACTGCGGTAGGATTTGAAAACTTGAATTTGCAAATGTGGCTCTTTCACCCTGTGAACAAGTTTGCTTCAATACCTGGTCTATACAGTACGGAAGTCTTTATTTTGAGCAAAGGGACACTCTCAGATCAATCGTAGATTCTCGGGGTTTTGGAGGGGAGGGGAAGCAAAACTGGCCCCCGTGCATGTGTGTTAATGCTTTCTTAATTGCAAGGGGTAAAAGAAAATATCCTTTTCTTGTTTGGCTCTTTGGCTGGAAGCATTCCTGCAGCACTTTGCATCCCTGTTACGAGGAGGCTCCAGAGGTCCTGCCACCGCGGCACCGACTGCAGCCAGCGCTCGGTGAGATGGGTACACGAGCACCAAGTCTAAAACCTGCCAGTTTTTGACCAAAGTTTTTACCTTTTTTATTTTTTTCATTCTCTCTCTCTCTCTTTTACTCTGATGGTGTCCCTTTAACAGCATAAAGATGTTCACGTTCTCTGCAAAAAACATTAAGAGTTATTTTCTTTAAGGCAGGGCAGAATTGGACTGTAATATGTTTTGCATAAAAAATACCAAAACTATATAAGGTTTTTCATGGGAGCTGGTATTTTTGGAGTGTAAAAGTTAATCTTTATTAGAGATGTGCCAATCTATACTGCTTTATTGTAGTGTTGTTACACTTAGGCCTTTCAGTTAACTTACAAATATATACTGTAACAGTATACTTTGTACAGATTTATTTAAAATTTATTTGAAAAACTGAAATAAAGTAGGCAGACAATAAAGATATTTATTTTTCATTTGACTATGTAAGAAGGTATCATTCTTTTGGTTTTAGTGCACTGGTGTACCAAGCCTCAGAACCACTGCTTTCTCCAGCTCATAGGATGCTTTTCCGAGACTGTGGATACGTGTATGTGTACTGCTGTGTTGATAAGTAAATGCCAACGATGGAGTTCGTTGCTTTTATACATCCCAAAGAGAAGTTCTCCACCGTTCATTTTTCTGTTTTCTGACTGAAAAGGCGTGTGTTTGTGAACAGTGTTCACACAAGTTCTGCCATCCCACCCTCACATCAGCTTATACCAATGCCAGGATGGGAGGATTTGCCTGCGAACCTTCCCCAAAACACCCCGGTCCGCAGTGGCATCATCAGGGAGCAGTTCAAACGTGTGTCCTCTGGGCTTTGTGTAAAGCAGATGCAGAACAAGAAAAATCACGATGTTAAATCCATTAGAAAACCAATTCCTTATTGTACAGTAGTATGGAGATCTCTAGTCAACCTGCCATTAATAATAGATTCTTATTTTTTGAATGATCTATTTAAAAGAACAGCAAGCATTGTATTTGCTAGTAAATCTGAAGTGTTTACATGGAATTACTAAATAAATTATTTGATCTAAGATGGCTCTCATCAGTGCTGATTTTTAATGCTGGAAATTAATTTCGGCAGCTGCTTTTTTAGTTCATGCTGTTCTTTAAAATCTCCCAGAGCATTTTTTTTTTTCTCTCAGTGCATCCTTGTGGGTTGAACAAGGTTCTGAGGAAGATGCAGAGTGTGCCTCTCCCGGTGAGGTCTGGCAGGAGTGCTAGCTAACGTTCTGCACCCCCCTCCACGCCATGAGACTGCCCCTTCCTATTCCAGACAACTGCTTGCAGTGCTGAGACAGAGAAGGATGCTCTGAGCTGGAAGCCCTGCGGCAGATGGAACTGCTTAGCTGCAGTTTTCGCCCGTCAGAGCCCTGGTGCATGTATATAGATAGATATATATTTTATAGCAGAAAGCATTGGGATAGAAGTAAAACATCATCCTTCAAGGTAACAAGTTGTCAAACCCAGTTCCAACATGGCTTGGTCGTGCTTGCTGCTGTCACAAGGCTGCAGGAAGGCCCCGTGCTCCCAGCCCCATGACCTTGCTCAAGGCCCTCGTGTCCATGGGCAGTCACAAGGAGCAGAAGCAGATGAGTGCTCTGGATCATCATCAAGGCTGAAGGTGAATTCAGGGGTTTCCACCCCTCTGAGCGCCAGGGCACTGGTGCTACTCCCCGAGGTGGGGAGCTGGTTGTGCAGCTCCCGAAGCACTCTGCTGCTCCAGTGTAGAGGATGGAGTAGGTGATGTTCTGCACTGGGGCTCCAGCCCAGCGTGCGGAGCTTCTGGCAGTGGGAGGAAAGCAGCAGGAGTGCAGTTAGTGAGTGGTTGGAGAAATCTATGGAGAAGGACCAGGCAGAAATAGCAGGCAGTCGCTGCAAGTGCAGGGTCTGGCCACACTGTGTCCCCCTCTAAGCACTGCATACACTCATTCCTTCAGAGGCGTTCAAACCAGGGAAAAAACGAAACTATAAATAATGCAATCTATCCCGCATTCCTCATTTCCCAGGCGTTCTCATACAGCTTGCCAAGTCACCTAATGTTTAATTTAATGCTCTCAGTGCTCAGTGCCTGGTTAGAAAACCCGACAAACGCTTACATTATGCATCATTTGGAATATTTTTGGCCATGGATTTCACACTTCACGTTCAGGGCAGGATTCCCACACCACCACCACCACCCCCGAGCTGCTGGGGAGTGTTGAGCCCAGACCCTGCTCCATGCACACAGCCAGTGTCCCCAGTCCAACTGCTCCTGCTTCCCACTCCTCTCACCCTCACTGTTTGGGAAGCCCTAAGGTATCTGTCCCTGGCCCTGCAGTGCAGCCCCTGCTCCCCCCAAGCCTTTCACCTCACCGATCACAGCACACTGCACACTGTGCTGCTTTCACTGCAAATAATTCTGCTCTTATTCTCCTGAATAGAGTATTTATATGCATCTTCTCCTCTTGTAAGAGCAAGCACGTGGTTCTGAGCAGTGTATTGCTAGTAATTTGCTTTCTGAATTGAGCAGAGTGATAAAATAGCTATGCTTATCTGCGTTACATCAAGAACTTACTTGGGATGGATGTTTCTTCACATTGATACCTACCAGCCCTAGCCAATGGTTGGTGCTTGAGAAGAAGCTGAAACAGCAGCTCTGCACCTTGCCGAGCCTTGCAAAGCCTTATTTTGGAAGAAAACATTCTCTCATTAGCTTTATTTCCCGTCCCACCCCACACACTGTCTTTTTAGCATCAGGAATTAGGAGCCATAGGGTAGGAAATTATTCAACCCACTGCTGAGCCTCAACGATGCTCAAGCTTCAACGATGCTTTAATATGCGGCTGGGAAAGGACAAGGTGGATGGAGTGACCTGCTCAGGGATGTGCCCACAGCTCTGATCCTGCTGCTCTGCTGGCTCTTTTCATTTCAGTGCTTAAAACCCAACCTGAAGCATCGGACAGGAACAGGGATCATGAATTGGTGCTTTCAGTAATTGGTGCCATTTGTTTGTAACTGATGGGGCGCAGTCCAGTAACTCAGATACAGAGCATCTTGAGTCAGCTTTGCCTCACGTGATGGCTTCCAACCAAAGCAGTTCCTTCCTCACTGGCTTGCTTGGCATTGCTGAGAACCTGCTGTCTTTTCTGGACATTGGCTGAAGTGGGTTACTCCAGAAGAAAGAAGGGAGGCGTTTTCTGGCATAGGAAACCAAAGCAAGTACTTTCGCTGTCACCACTGCAGCTGCTTGCATGGAAAGGTGACTTGAAAGCCAACTGAAAGCTCCGCAGCACTGCCATGTAGGTGTTGGGAGTAGAAGCTGCTCTTGATTTCAAGAAATGTATAATTGGAATGAGGAGGCATAGACATGAGCTTGATCCATGTCCAAACCCTTTCTCCCTCCAGCCTTTCAACCCAGCAGAGCATGGTAACTGTAAAGACATAATTTGAATTATTTCACCCCAGATTCGTTTCTCCAAGTTTAACATATGGAGGTGCTAAAAGTGGGGAAAGAGAGGAGCTTAAAAGGGAGAAGCAATACTGATGATAGCATCAAATACTGGTTCAGATGGGAAACCAACCTGATCGTTTGTAGCCACCCACAGGAGGGGTGGGAGAGGCTTATCTCCTACTGTATCTCATTTCATAGCTCACCCAGTGTTTCGGTAGGCCTGAGAAACAAAAGCTGTGGCAGAGAGGGATGGTGAATTCCACCGCGGGGCCAGGAGGAAGGTGGAGGGAAGGAGGTGATGTGACTTGGTGAGCGATTGCTCTGCACCTCCTGACGAGCTGATGCACAAACATCTCCGGCTGCTCTGGAGGCTTGACCAGGGTGTTTATAGGCAGCCGCCTGCTCCTGGCGAGCTGTTCTGTCTCTCCTGTTAGCACTGACACTGAGCACTCAGTGCCGATGGATGCCCAGAACAGCTTGATCCCCAGCAAGGATGTCCCGAGAGAGCAGTGAACGGAGAGGGAAAGAGCAGTAGCCGAGCGCTACTGCCTCTACAACAGACGCTTGGTTTCCCTGCACCTCCCCTTGCTCTCCCTCCCAGAAGTGTCTCCTGATCAAGCCTGCACCCATGGCTGCCTGAGGGGGAGCAAGCACTGAGGGCTGACCACAAAAACTGAACTGCGCTAAAGCTGAAAGCAGGAGATCCCCCAAGCCCTATCTCCCTGCCCTGCCGGGTGAGACGAGCTAACTACAGCTATAACCTTCACTGCAGGCTGCATCCCACAAAGTGTTTCCGGTTGAGGCTGTTCACCTTGGTCATGGGAAGAACCTGCCCAGGTATTCCTTTCAGGAATGGCCGTGGAAAAGCACCATCATTCCTCCTGATGGTAACAAGAGCAGTCTGTGCCCTGACATGGTTGCTGGGCTCCCCTAAGCACAAGAGCTGCTGTACCTCAAGAGCAAACAGTCCCTGGTGTTAGAGGATCTTAGCACTAAAAGTAACATCATGCAGGATGAGCTGTGACTCCCATCATGGAGAGCAGTAGGGACATAGGGAATCCCTGTGCCCTGCTGTGATATCCTCTGGCCATGCTTCTCCTCCCAACCCTCATGGTGCCCCATAACACTAAGTGCCCCTAATCCCTACCTTTTCTCTGGTGGACTTCCCTTAGTTTAGCCTACAGCTTGATGATTTCTCAGCAAGCCTCTATTTCTCTGTGGTGGGATTGGTAACAGTGGGTACAGCAATAGCAAATAATTATTCAATGATCTTTTGGGGTTTAAAAACCTGTGGCTTTGCCAGTGGCTAATGATTCATGGACCTAAAGAAGCTTCTGAAACACCATAATTTGAGCAATAGCAAAGTATAGGTGGGAAAGGTGAGCTACAGATGGCAACAGCACCGTGAAGTCTCAGTGAAGGACCCTGTTTGGAGCCAGGAGGTGTCCCCTTGAGTCCTGCTGCTGTCACAGCCAGCCATGCCACCTTGCACCATGGTGTCCCTGTCCAAGTGCGGACAGAATACACAGATTCCTGGTATGGCCTCTGCATCCCAGCCATGGCTTTTTGGGGACTGGGAGGGATTGCCCAGTCCATCCTGTGGGCACACAGCCGTTAGATGTGGGAGTGCTGGTGCCAACATCTAACACCATCTTCTACCTCTCGCTGCCACCCCAGCAGTGCCCCGCAGTCCCACTCTGCCCCTGGCAGCCAAGGAGACCCTGTAACATTGCTCTGGGTACCCTGGTCCTGGGGAAGAGCCAGATCCGGGCAGCAGGACAGCAAACCCAGCACCACAGCTTTACAGAGTAAAAGGTATCGTGGAGCCCTCAGAAAGCTGAGGTGCCCCCAAAACTGAAGCCCCTACAGGCAGCCCCTCCACAGATTGCAGCCCCACGATAACCTTGGCTTTGCTGCCAAGGCTGGTGGAAGTGCCTCAGGACACAATGCCCAGCACCCAGCATGATGTGTGTGTCATGGACAGGACACGGGGGATTTAGAGACAAGGCACTGTCAAAAGAGACAGTAATTAGTACTAATTGCAAGTAATCAGCCAAACCTAAGAGCATAAAGGGGCCTAGTCCTGGCAAAGCCAATAGCTGGGGTAACGAGGGCATTTGCTTGGCAGGCTGTGGTGGGAGAACCCCATGGATGGGGACCCATAGGGCCACCCCTTTCCGTCTCTAGAGACCACACTCCCTTCACATATCCATCACATACACCTGTAGCACCGTCAGTTTCTGATTCTTTGGTCCTCGCAATACTCTGTGCCCAGAGCAGATCTCCAGGCATGGCATCAAGACCTGCAGCTGCCCTGTGACCCCAGCCAAACCATCACACCCCACTGCTGAGCCCCAGGGTGCCTCCCGGAGACATGCTGGTGACGAACAGGGTGCTGTACCTTGCTCTGAGAACAAGGGTGGAAGTTTTCCTATTTCACCCCTGCAGTATATTTCACCTGCAGTATATGGCCGCCCTCACATCTGCAGACTTCATTTGGCACCCACATCCTCAGGGGTATTAAGGAGCTCTCAGAATTGGGTTTGAAATGCTACCCAATTTCCTCCATACTCGTTCCCTGCAGTTCCTCTTGGAAGACCG